GACTGCAATTAGCCATTTAGGAAAGAGAACTGCCTAAGAGGAACATAACCCTGTGCCAGGAGGAATTCACTGGAGGATGACGGTTTATCTGGTAGAGGGGTTCAGGAGAGGCTTCCGGGAGAAGTTGAGAGTGGCTAGAAGGGCAGACAGGGTTTTATCGGGTAGAGCAGTGATGGGAGCGATCCCATAAAAGAGAATAATAAAGATGAGGAGGGAGGCTCAGGATGTGTCCAGGGAGCAGTAAGTCCTCCAGTTTGTCTGTGTGTATAGGTCTCATGTGGGGGATGTGGAACCGGAGGCAGAGAGGTTGAATGGGGACAGATTGAACACCGGGGTGAGAAACCTGCAGATTGGTTGGTATACCGTGGCATTCTCTTGAGGGTTTTGTAGCAGGCCTTGGTGTGACTTGATTTGCGCTAATTGCAAGTAATAGCAAACGTTTATTGAGCATGTATGTGTGTGCCCGATGCCGTTCTAGGTGCCCTGTAACTACTCTGTTTTCACGACAATTCTATCAGGCAACCATTATTGTCATCCTTCCCTTACAATAATAAGGCACAGAGGGGTTAGTTAACTTGCCCGAGGTCACAGAAGTAAGAAGTAGCAGAGCTGGAGTGTGAAACCAGCTCATCTGGTTTCTGAGGACAAAATGTGCTTCTCAGTAAATTGATACAGTAGCAGACTGGAGAGTAGGTAAGAGCCCACTTAGAAAAATGCTGGGGTATTGGGGGGGGGGCGAATGGTGAGAAACAAATGCCTAGATTAGGATGGTAGCAATGATGATGAAGAGAAGGGATTTGAATTAATTTGACTTGGCAACAGATCAGGTGGGTGGGGTCCTGAGAAAGAAGAGGGGCCAAAGAAGTCCTTAAGATAGTCCTGGTGGCAGAGAGCCTGCAGGACTGTTAAGTGAAACAGGGAAGGAGGGAGGAAGAACTGGCTTTCCTGGGAAGATCGGACATTCCATGTCGGCCATGTTGGATTTAAGAAGCTGAAAGGATATTCGCATCACTGTTGGGTATCGCAAAATTTGAAGTTATCAAATTTGGGAGTTTCCCCAAAGAGATGAAAAAGAGGTGCAGTTTCTGCAGAGAAATACGAGATAGGAAGGTCTGTCGTTCACAGGTAGGGCTGGGATGAGAGGAGAGAGAGGAGGTGGAAATAAAACTGCCAAAGAGATAGAAAGCCCTAAGGGGAGAGGAGGAGGAAGGGGAGAGGGATGGAAGCAGTGGAATGCCTCTCCTCAGTTCCGCTTCTCAGGAGGGGAGAGTGAGAGACTGCAAAGCCCCAGGAGGAAGCAGCCACTTGCGTTCTGTCTGTGGAGGATGTTCTGTGTCAAAAAGGTCTTGACTGTCATATAATGTGATGTCTCTAAGGAAAGGAGCATATTTATATACATTGTCACCCAACTTTTTTTTTTCTTCTTTTTTTTTTTTTTAGGTTTTAGGGTGCATACGCTCTCCAGAGAGACAGAGAGAGGGAAAATGAGAAACTATCCCCTAGAGGGGACAGCCACACCACAGTCCCTTCTCCTCTGTTCTCCTATTGGGATTTTTGGCATGCACACACATGTGCCTGGTATGATTTTCAAGCCTCCAGGTCTGGGACTCGAACTGTAGTTGGGCCATATGAGAGTCCAACACCTTAACTACCATACTACCTATTGGCCCCAATCACCCAGCTTTTTATGCAGTTCTATACCTGTGTAATTATTTCCTGAATGTGTAAATGAAATGCTTGCTTTTTGGCTAAACTAGCATCTCAGGAGCTCTTATTTTTGAATAAGGAAGTAGACTCTAAATATTAGGCTGTAGTTCCTCTGGACACAGTTGTATCTTGTACAGATGTTTATTTAGTTGTAAAAGGTTGATAGTGCTCTGTGATTGAAAAGGCAACCGTCTGAGAAGCCAATGGAGAAAACCGAACAAAGTGGTCTCATGAGTAAGGCTATTAGAAGGGAAGTGTGCATTTATGCTTTTTTTTTTAACAGAACTTATCTCATTACTATAAATGTGCTAATAAAATGTGGATGATAAGAAATCATACTTGTCTGTGGGTAATAATTTCACAGGTCAAGGCTGGAATCAGCGTAGAGTCTAACACACTTGTATAAAAATAGCCACATAAAAAGGGAGCCTTTCAAAGAAGATTTATCTGTATTTGACTAAGCAACAAATAATGTACAACTCTCCAGAAAGGCTAATTCTTTGGTATTGGACTTGGGCCCTGTAATCCAAATAGAGGCTTATTTTTAATAACCTGGCTTACATTTGGTTCCAAGGTTAGCAACATCAGATATGTTCATTGTTATAAGCCTTGGATGCATCTCCTAAGGGTGAGCAGAGGTATAGGGTTGGATGTTAACAGCATAGAAAGACAGTTGGCCGTGCAGGGCAGTGTGCAGGGTCTTCATT